ACCCTCCACAATAAAAATGATTAATCAACCTCTCATAATTACAAAAAAATGAACAAAATGAAAAATTATGATTGGTTGAATGCGGTTTGCACGGTTTATACAAATTGAGTGGTTTACATTTGATCGATATATATATATATATATATATAAAACTAAGAATATGTCATTTTCAAGACACAAATCAAATTTCTTATAAACTAGTCCACAAGTGAACATGAAATCAATTGATTGCTCTTTCCTCTTAAAACTTTTACACTTTTAAAACAAAATAAGAAATGAATATCAAAAAATTTATTTAGGGGCCGTTTATCAAACATTTACCCGGTAAGTGTTTACCGGTAAAATTTAACTATTATTTACTTACCGGGTATGATTTTAGTCCACCAAACGATGTCTTATGCAATAATTTACCCGGTAATCGCTTACCGTGGTAAGAGTCGTCGCCCTCACGTACTAGGTAAGACTCTTGGTTCTTGTTTTGCTCTTACCGAATAAGATTTTTGGTTCTTACCATATTCATCCAGTAAGGTAATATGACTTGGTAAGCACTTACCTGACTAAGCATTTGATAAACGGTCCCTTAGATTTTCTAAAATTAGTGTCCATTTTTGCCTACTTTCTTATGAAATGAAGAAAATTCTTTTTATAAAACTATAAAAATGTTATTTAGTTAATTAAAAATATAATAATTAAGTATTACTAAAAACCTGTGACATTTTTATTACGGATATTTATTATAAGTAGTAGAACGTAATAAAGGGATCCACCCTTTATTCCTTCCAATTCTAATAAATACCATGTGTCGGTCTAGAATTTTAAGCTTTTGGTTGATTTCAATGGACTTTTTAAGGTTTTTGTTGATTTTGAGATTTTTTTTTCATGTTAATGCTTTTTGTATTTTCTAATATCTTAAAGCATCAATTAAAGTTTAGCAGATGCACCTTTTATACCAAAAAAATTATTCTACAGTGATGGTTTTGTAAAATAAACATCTTCATACGTCATGTTACTATGATAATTTGAAAATTAAACGTCATCCATATGGCGTACTATAGTGACAGTTTTGAAAAATAAACATTAACGTATGTCTTGATACGGTGACAATTTTGGAAAATACACGTCAACTTATATCCTGATACGATAACGGTTTTGAAAATAAACGTCACCATATGACGTGCTAGTTTGAAGATTTTGAAAAATTAACGTTGTCATATGTTGTGCTACTGTGAAGGTTTTGAAAAATAAACGCCATTATATGTCATGGTACGGTCACAGTTTTGAAATATAAACGTCACCGTGTGTTATGTTATGGTGACAGTTTTGGAGGGGAAAAGTCATTGTATGCCATGCTATGGTTAGAATTTTGAAAAATAAATGTCATCATAAATCTTGATATGGTCACAGTTCTGAAATATAAACATCACCATATATCATGTTACGATGATGGTTTTGAAAAAATTTAGTCATTGTGTGTCATGTATGGTCATGGTTTTGAAAATTAAGTGTCCTAGTGTGTCATGTCATGGTAACGATTTTTAAAAATACAACATTGTTTCTTATGCTATTGTGACGGTTTAGAAAATTAGATGCAAACAAATGTCGTGACGGTTTTGTTGGTTTTTAATTATTTCTGCCCCATAAGGAATAGTTAAAATAGGCCAACAATAGTGGCTCAATACAAGCATATATTTTCTTATATGTTAGGGTTTTGCAATAAGAAGGAAAAGTCCACAAAATACAAAAGTGAGAGAAAAAAAAGGGAAAGTTCGGCAGCATATTCGGGCAAATCATAGGCAGGCCGTTTTGCTTATTTTCCAAAGTTTGAACCGTCAGATCGTCTTGATTTTTTGATAGTAGCTTCATAACATCTTTATGTACATTCTCAATAGTGGAGTTCGGTTTTTGTAGTCCAGGAAGTCATCTCTTTGCTGTTCGACAGATTACAGCTTTTTTGGGTGATATTTTTTTTTTTTGTATTATTTATTGGTGGTAGTAAACTTTAAACGGTCTAAGTGGATTTTAGCCCACGTTTTTTTGCACCTACTATGTAATAATGTGATTTTTACAAGCTCTAAAAACATGTAAAAACGTGATTTTTTTTACACGGTAACCTTTTACAAGATTGTAAAACTCTATGAAAATGCTCTTTTTAAAAGTAAATGTATGATAAAACTCCGTCACTCTTTCATGATTTGTTATATTCATTGGTTGTTGTTTTCATATCCATTGAGTTTATCTTCTTGTAGGTACTGTGAACAAATTTTAATTATAATGGCGAGAAGCAACAAAAAACTAAGTGAAACAAGAATTGTACAAATTAACAGGATGGTATGTTATTACTTTAATGTTTTTAAATGTAATATTATTACTTAAATGTTTTTAAATGTAATATTAATTATTTTGTTTATATTTTGAGTATTTTGTTTTATCTTTAAACGATAAAAACCGTCATACAAAAATGACTTACTGTAACGGTTTTGAATAATAAATATCGACGTGTGTCATGTTATGATAACGGCTTTGAAAAATAAAGAATATCGTATGTCATATTGTAGTAACGGTTTTGAATAATAAATGTCATCGTATGTCATTCTAGGGTGACGATTTTGAAAATCAAACATTACCGTACGTCATGTTAAGGTGACATATTTGAAAGATAATATCGTTTTATGTCATTCTATGGTGACCGTTTTGGAAAATAAAAGTGACCATATATCATGTTACCGTGATGATTTAATAATAAACATCATTATACATCATGTTTGGATGACAGTTTTGAAAACTGTATATAATGCTATGGTGAGGGTTTTAAATAATAAACGCCACTCTATGTAATTATATAGTACCGATTTTGAAAATTAAACGTTACTGAGTGTACAAATCATCACTCGTAACGTGACATAGGGTAATGTTAACTTTTTTTAAAATCACCATCGTAGCATGATTTGTGGACGTTTGTTTTTCAAAACCGTGGTTGTAGTTTGATGTATTGTGACATTAATTTTTCAAAACCATCACCATTATATGATATATGTTGACTTTTACTACTTGAAAGCGTCACCGTAACATGATATGGTGATGTTTTTTTTCTAAATCATGACGTATGGTGACGTAAATTTTTCAAAAGTATCACCGTAGCACGTCATATGGCAACTTAAGTGTTTTGAAACCATTACCATAATATGACATATAGTGACGTAAATTTTTCAAAACCATTGCCATAAACCACCTTTTACTGATGCAAAATTTTTAAACCCGTTAACATTGGATATGATTTTCCAAATAAATGTGGTTATATATACTTTGTTTTTGGCAATGGTTTTAAAAATCATTAAAACATAAAACAACGGTTTAGAGAAGAAAAAAAACATTACTGAATAGTCCCCTACAACAACGGTTTTTAAAAACCGTTACAACATAAAGCAACGGTTTTCAAAACCGTTACCATAAGGGACTTTTTAGTAATATTTTTGTCTAAACCGTTGCTTTATGTTTCTAGGTTTTCAGTAAGAGTAACTTGTTTTATAAAAACCGTTATTATAACAACTCTAGTAAGTTTTTTTTTTTAACTTTTCATATCATTTTTTCCAAACCCATTTTTTCAAAATCGTCACAATCATTTTCATACTAATATTTTATTTTATTATATAACTGTTGAAAATGATACCCACCGTCTTTTTATGATATAGAGGGGGCGGCCCCTCCAATCAAGGAAAAAAATTAAAACATGATTTTTTTATAAAGACAGAAAAATATAACCAAGGCCATACCCACCTGTAATTCCTACAGAAAATGGAAGGATGGCAACCAGGGACCAAATGCAGGTTGGCTTTTGAATGAGCCAACTTAATAAGTTCTTAATTAAATTACGACCTACTAATAGAAATTTAAGAGAACTTCATGAATTCAGCTAAAAACTCATTTAAGATCATATACTTGTATATCTCGACTCTCTCTCTCTCTGAAAAGCCTGTTAAAATGGAAAACAAGCATACCAATGGTTAACGAATTCATCGACTTCAACACCCTTGTGTTGCCGATAATATTCATAGCATCTGCAACTTCTGTATGCATCATTGACATCACAAACTTGTACACCTTAGTAAGTCATGTGACACCATTTTCTAATACCCCATTGAGGCCATTCTTTCATAAGATTCTATAGCAACATCATGTTGTCTAAGGAGTCCTAAATAATACTAGCTACGTTATCTAAGGTATAATTTATATATGGTTAAAGATTGTAACCAAGCCATCCGTTTTCCCTTATTGCCAGTCACGGTTATGCTACATGAAACCATACGAGGCCTTGCTTTTTTGGAGAAATATGGTGATCAGCGATTCCTGTGACTGGAGAAGTGCCAAAAGGAAGCAGCCTGATGAAAGAAAGAAAGAAAAATGAGAGACTGAACAAGTATATGATCTTATAAAGATGCAACCTACTTTGGTCTGTTTTTCCTATCTTGTGTAACATAGTTTGAAAACTTATATTTTGGTACCTCAGATGTGATATATCAGACATTTAGGTACCTGGTTTACATCTGAAAAAGCATAAAAATGCAACTATGTTCTAATTCCTATTTTGTGCAAGGTACACTGGTTTGATGCTTGAGATATCTCATCTGCTGTACCAAGATGAAGATAGGAATCAGTCGGAAGTACGTTATATTTTTGTAGTTGTCCTATAAAGTTCTACTTTCTAAAAATCAATTTTGCACATTACCTGACCATTGCCTGATTCAGAAACTGTACTACTCTTCCTCTTTTTGCTGCACGGTGTGTTCACTTTCTCTACCGCAGAATCTTCAACAAAGTTCTGATCTATCACCTCTGCAATGATAAAAATTAGGACAAAACTATGAATACCATTTCATGTGATGGCAAAAATATACATCTAAGTATGCTGCATACATGCATAAGTTGGACAAAATGCATAATTTTAGTAGTCCCTTTGAAAAGTTATAGGTGACATTAGTTTTAGTCTACAAATTTCTCACTTATTGTCTTTACTAATGGTCATTTTATGCATTTGATTATTAGACAGACACTCGTTAAACTATGAACCAAGAAAATGTTGCAATTTTTTGGATGGGGGACCTTTAGTGTGCGTTTGTTGCATACGCGGATGAATCTGAACTGGACAAGACTAGACATGACAGGACTGGATGGGCAAGAGTGAGATAGGTAGGTGACAGAATTGTGAAAATGTTTTACAGTTTTAATTTGACATGAATAGTTCAATAATTTACTAATTTTCTCTCATCTTCTTGATTTTTGTTCCACCTATTTTGACCAGAGAATTCTTTTTTTTTTTTTTGTTCCGCTTAATCCCGTCCTACCACAGTCTAGTTCGTGCCAAACGACAGTTGTGTCACGTCCAGTCCTATCTCAAATCTCAACTCTAAGATACCAAACGTACCCTCACCGAACAGAGGTTCATGTAAAAGCCAGGGACTGAATATGCATGTGAATTCTAGTGGCATAGAAGTACCTGTATCACTGCCACTTGTATGTTGACAGCACAATTGTGAGTCAGATACCGGAAATTGCTGTGACTTTGCAGTTGATGATGGTTTCTCCTGGGGTGGAAGGGTTTGGGCAGCTTCGTGCCTGCTTCCGTTTGTAAAATGTTGGATCCATTGATTGCCCAAAGAAACATCTGCTTCCTTAAGCACCATGTTTTCTCTCTTGAAATCAATCCTTGACCATAAGCCATGCTGTTGAACCTTAAACTGATATTTACCTAGTGTTAGATAAACCAAATCAAATGAACCCCGTATATCCCACCCTAAGGTGGGGTCTGGGGTGAGATGTATGCTGACCTGACCTCTAACTCAAAGAGTAGAGCGACTGTTATTTAGAGTGTCAGATGTTGAAGTCAATCTTTAATGGAAGATGGGCAATAGTGAATGGAACTATCTCGAACCTGTCCAGAAGGATAACGGGTGTTGGCATGATTTCTCCTAGATGACAATGAATCTGACGAGCACTGGTTTTGAGTTTGCGAACTTCGCATATTGAAAGAATTATATAACTGATCAACAAAAGAAGCTTCCATTGACTTTAGGTACAAACTATGCTTCTCATTTGTCCATTCTGATGATTCTCCTTTTGGGGATTCCTGAGACAACATTTTTTTATAAAGTGCCAGAAAAGAAAATGAGTAAAATGTTCAAGCAATATGCTAAAAGCACCAGTGCCAAATTTCAAAATGGAAAGATCACATGACTTGAGAAGGGTTTGTTGAACAAGAAGCCAATTAAAAAGAACCCCTAAATTAGCAAAATATGCCAAACAATCGCTCTTTAGAGAAAGAAAGTGGAAATGTAGCACATGTTGCAACACAAAACATGCACATGGACCTCCAGAATTCCACAGCTTAGCATCTCATGACAAACTGTCGATAAGTAGAACAAATGAGGATTAAAATGTTCTTCACCGAAACGGCCACTCTACTATTTGGGGTAGAGGTCACATTTTCGTACATCTTACCCTCTCCAGATCCCACGATGGGATATTCCTGGGCGCGTTTGGTTTGGTTTGGTTTGGTTTGGTTTAGATCAGGATTGCCATATGAACCGTGTGTCACCATGCATCCAAATTTTATTGCCCAAGTAACATACCAACATGACTAGCTGCAAATGACAATCTGGGTCCTCAGACAATGCACTAATTTGTGCAAGAAACTGGTTGTTGCGTCCATTATGTAAGGCCATGGACCGAATTATGAGTCCCTTCCAAGCTATTAGTAGCAGATTAGCTTTGATGTGCTAATGCAACAAAAAGTTTCCAAGAATTTGGGTATCATTTCATTTTCTGTGCAGATAAGGACAAGAATTTTCATAAGTAAAGAAAGACAAACAAAAATGCAAGCTGTAGTGCAACCAAAAGAGCATGCCCATCAGAAACTCGAAGGAGCAACTACGGAATGCACCCCAAGAACAACCTCACAAATAAATAGACTGAAAATATACCCTATTCATAGCCAATGCCTCATAGTAGATACATTTAGGTTTTGGCCATTATGGATTCGATAAGATTGTAATTTCTCCTACTTATACATATGTTGAATGATTTTCATCAAATCCTCGCACGTTATTTGTCCATTATAATGAAAGCCTCTACTTCTCTCTCCATATCTAATTACCTAATCGTGCTTAAAGTATTTTTTAATCATGTTGCATTCTCATAACATGGTATAAGAGCCAACGTCTACCATCTAGGACATATGTGTCCACAGTCCAGGACTGACACTCGACATTTCACCCTCTAGCCTCCGTTGGAGGGACGTGTTAGAGTCCCACATCGGCTAGCCTTACGACCATTTCCCTGGATGTATGTTTTGAAACCACATTGGCTAGACATAAGGGCGATTTTGGAGATAAATCTAACCAAAAAAAAAACCAATATCTTGAGACATGGTCTCTGTACCATACTGAATCCACCATACCAGTCTTGTAACCCCCAATCCTAGTAGACTCCCAAATTTTCATCGAGTTACTAACTAACTTTTCTTCTACAACACGAAAGTCAGTATGGACTTCAAAAAACTGGAACCTAACCAGTTTGATTGAAAGGAAAAAGGGTGTTCGAAATTGATGGAATACTGCATAAAAACATAAAACACCCAAAGCTGTCCACTGGTTCCTAATGATCTCCGCAAAAACAATTATGCCATCAGAACAGATGTAAACCAATCACACAATACTGTATTCAAACAAAACCAAAAGCAATCAACCTAAACTCAACAAAAGACGCCAAAATACCTAAAAAAATAGCATTTCTATACAACGATAACAAACCTAACAAATTATAATATAAGATCAAATTCATAATGCATTGACACTTGAAACAAAAAACAATGAATAATCTCACCATAATTGAACTCTCTTCCTGTTCTACAAAGTCATTCAAACCCACATCGTCGGCGGTCATCTCCGACGCAACCAAACACCTCTGCGCCTCGGTGAACGGTGGGGAAAGTGAATACTCCATATCAAAATGAGATATTGAAGAGAGATCAATTAAGGGGAAAAAAAAGACGATAGGTGTAGAATTTAAGTTTGTGAGATCAGGCTTATGAGCCGAGGAGGAGTTTCGTGGCTCGGCGAATAGATGTGCCAGATGTCACCTGCTTTCCACATGGCATGGTGCCACGTCAGCAGGAAGTACATGTTTGACTTTAGATATTTTGCTGCACCGCTGATTTTTATTTGTACGGCGTAGATATTTTTTTATGCTTCTCAAAATATCCCAGACCCGCTACTTTCGTTTGCTTTATTCTTGAAACGACTAACAAAGTAACATTATATTTTTTTAAGAGTAAAGTTCGCTTTTAGTCCTTAACATTTGTTATTTTTAATGAATGTCATCCATAAATTTTATTTCACCGGTTTTAGCCATGATGTTTGTTAATTTTCAATAGATTTTATTTCTTTTTTTTAAAGATCGCTAATTTTTCCTGATAAATAAAGGTTATATTGATCATTTTCTATTTTACTTAAATAAATATAAAACTTATTATTATAATATAAATATTATATTAGTTATATTTATATATTTAAGGTTAGATCAATCCTAACTGAGAATCAACATTAATGAGATGAATCGAGATGCACCAAATCAATTCCCGTGAGAAGCGCACTTTATGGAGTTGGGTGAGATTAAAAGTGTTCAAGGTCGATCTCTTCTTACGTTTCTCATCTTAACTCTTATTCTCACTCGATTCTTCGTATATACATAACTAAATGAAAACAGAAAATATTTATACTCCTACCTTCTCATATCACCATTTTCCTGGGTTTTCAGGATTCACTCATCAACCTAACCACTACACTCTTCACCTGAGGCCTTCTCTCAGACAATAATTGAAGACCAACAACAATAACCATTCCATCTCACCAATTATGACATCCCTTCTCTTCCATTCCAAGCAAAGAAGGCCTCCTTCCGAAGGGTTCGAGTCATCAGTGATATACCACTTTGGAAATCATCATGTCACAACTTCCTTGACCTTTTATCATCCAACAAAGGCGACCAGCGATGATATTATCTCATCTCATCTTCGCCCTCTTGTTCATCTTTTGGTTCGCTCAAGCTCCTACCCTCAAATCGAGGGTTTTCAACTTCTGATATCTCTCCAGTTTGTCTTCTGGGTTGCACAAGCTCCTATGCCAAAATGCAATTCAAGGGTTTCATTTAGGTTTGCGTTTTTATTTAGGATTTTGTTTGATTTAGGTTTTTATGTATAATGACATTTTATGTGTAAGATCACAAAATTGTATAACTAGATGTAACACCTCCAAACACCACATTTGCATATAACACATATTTCATTACATAGAAACATAGTTTACATCACATGGTCCCACTAATACAAGGATTCTTATATGTACAAAATCTACATATGAAAAATATTCCAAAATAAATTATGTACTATCACATGTAATACAACATGTATCTTCAAAAATAAGCAATCTTATGAAGATCTTCAAAAAACAGATATCAGAATTAGAAAAATAATCACATTTTCCTTTTCCCCTTATTATCTCTAGCCCCAGCCATTCCTGCATTGCATATTTTTAAAACAGAAAATGAGGGTTAGACTAGAAGGGTCTAGTGAGTAAATCCCTTCTTTGCAAATGCAGGGTGATGAACACCAAAATATAACAAAGTAACTTTGCTCAGAAATATTTGCAATACCATTAAATAATGCAGTCCTCAGTGACATGTATAAAAGGATAAACTTAAGAACCTCAGTTCTATTAATAAAATACATCTGCTTAATGATCCAACGTTCCCAATATGAAACAAATATTGTAACCAAATATTTTTTGAATCATTAGACCATTCTTTTATAAATATTTAACGGAAAGATTTAAGGCAATACTTGCCATTTATGACAAACTATTTTTTCCTTCTCAATAACATCTAAATTATTATCTCTAATAGGAATAATATCTCTAATTCATCAGATCATAAAAAAATGATGATTCAAAGTTATTAAATCCAATTAGTAAAAATAATAAGAGTTATAATATTATCCACATATGATAATGTCTCCCTTATTCCAAGTACACCTCTCCTTGATATGTCACCCTTATTCCTTCATCAAAACAGGGCTACTTATCAGAACAGACAAAAGTCACCACGTCTGAAAGTACATATTCCCAGTTCCAAGTCAGAACAGACAAAAGTCACCACGTCTGGGGGAACTACCTCTTAAAACAAGTTTCATACCAAAACAGACTTACGTCACCACGCTTGGTAGAAACAATTTACAAAAATCCAATTCACATACCAAAAAGACTTATGTCATCACGCTTGGTAGGAAGGTTTCCCAAAATATAGTTTCATAACAAAACAGACTTACGTCACCACGCTTGGTAGAAACATTTTCCCAAATCTAGTTCCATACCAAAACAGACTTTACGTCACCACGCTTGGTAGGAACATATCTTTTTATTTAAAAAGATATAAAATACCTCTTCTATAAATCCATAATTAAACCCAATAATAAACATTTTTAAATTATATAAATGTCCAAAATATTCAACATTTGAAAATTATCAAATATAGGTCATCCGGATAAATTATCCGGATATGCAATCTAGACAACACTATCTCTTCTTGCCCGATATACTAATCCGGACAACATTTGGTCGATTTAAGACTAAATCGCATGACTCATGTCCGGTTTAAGACAATCCGGACAACACATGATCGGTTTAAGACTAAACCGCTCCACACGTGATCGGTTTATAACTAATCCGCACGACCCTTAGGCGATTTAAGGCTTAACCGCACAATGCTTGGTCGTATTCATATTTCTCCGTTCAAAATCTTTGTCCGATTTACATAGTTCAAAATTCTCACTAACACTCTAAATCGCACAACACTTAAGCGATTTATAAATAAATCGGACACCTCCAATCCGGTTTAAGAGTAATCCGGACAAGCTTTGTCTGGTTTAGACTTAATCCGGTCACCCTTTGTCCGAATAAAACCCTTAATTAAATAACTGATTTTTTTCCAATAATAAGCAACATTCAAATAAAACTAGTAACAAATTTTATGCAAAAAGGTTTAGAAATCACTCATCTTATGCAATTACTTTGATTTTGAAGAAGATTGCAAAATTCCCCTTGAATATCCGGACTACACTTAACTTGAATAGCTCTCAAAATTCCAAAAGAAGCAAAGAAAACTTGTTTCTTCATACAAAGCCTCTATTTATACTTTCCAAATATGGAAAGTCGGTCAATCCCCCCCCCCCATTCACATGCATGCATATAAAAGTTTATGCACACATATGCACATGCATGCTTATATCATGCATACACACACACACACACACATATATATATATCCACATATTTTGCATATATCTCATGCATGAAATACACATACTTACGTTGTTTAACCCATGTAAGCATGTATTCACATAAACAATTAACTCACATAATAATCACCTTGAGTAATAACCAAAACTTGGTTATCACATTATCCATCCCTTTAAAAGAATTTCGTCCCGGAATTCCTTTAATCGAAGAGCCATGGATAATTTGCTCTCATTTCTGATTCCAATTCCCAAGTCACTTTTGGTCCTTTGTGAAACTTCCACTGAACCTTAACCAGATTAATTTTTTTGTTTCTCAACACCCTGATCTTTCGGTCAATCACGGCTTCTGGTGTTTCCACAAAGTTCAGCTTACTGTCCAGTTTGACCTTTGGTAATGGTACAGCGAGACTCGAATCAGCTAAACATTTCCGCAAATTTGATACATGAAAAGTGTTGTGAACCAGACTTAGTTCTTCTGGTAATTCTAACTGGTATGCTACTGACTCGATTTGTTTACATATTCTAAACGGCCCAACATACCTCGGACTGAGCTTACCCTTCTTCCCAAATCTGATGACACCCTTCCATGGCAAAACTTTCAACATTACAATCACCTACACAAAATTTAATCGGCTTTCGGCGATTACCAACATAACTTTTCTGGCGATCTTGTGTTGTTTTGATTCTTTCACGAATTTGTTCAATCTTGTTTGAAGTTTCTTGAACAATTTCAGGACCCGGTAACTGCCTTTCACCTACCTCGTTCCAACACAACAGTGTTCGACATTTACGTCCATACAATACTTCATATGGTGTCGCTTGGATGCTGGAATGATACTATTGTTATACGCAAACTCTATTAGTGGCAAATGATCTTCCTATGATCCCCTGAAGTCAACGATACAGTTTCTCAACATATCTTCGAGAGTCTGGATAGTTCTTTCACTTTGTCCGTCTGTTTGCGGATGATAGGCTGTACTTAACTGAATTTCAGTCCCAAGAGCTTTCTGTAAACTTTCCCAAAACTTTGAGGTGAAACGGCTATCTCTATCAGAAACAATAGACAGTGGAACACCGTGTCTGGTTACAATCTCTTTAATATAAATCTGTGCCAACCTTTCTAGAGAGTATCCCTCTCTTATAGGTAGAAAATGCACAGATTTAGACAAGCGATCAATAATTACCCAGATCGCATCATACCCCTTTGGAGTTCGAGGTAATTTCATGACGAAATCCATTGTAATATGATACCACTTCCATGCAGGAATCTCCAAAGATTGAAGACTTCCATACGGTTTCTGATGTTCGATCTTAACATGTAAACACGTTAAACATTGTTCCACGTATCTAGCGATATCTTTCTTCAATCCGGGTCACCAATAAAAAGATTTTAAATCTCGATACATCTTATTGGTACCTGGATGAATAAAGTATCGGGACTTATGGCTTTCATTCAAAATTACTTTCCGGATATCCCCAAAACTTGGTATCCAAATTCACCCTTGAAAACACATAATTCCTTTGTCGTTTGGTTCCAAGGTTGAAATCATCTTACCCAATCTTTCTGACTTGATAAGATCTTCTTTCATAGTGATAGTCCCCTTTAATGATCAATCTTCATGAAAGCTTCATAATCCATGACAAATCTAACATGAACATTCAAGAACACATGATGAACTTTGAGAAAGAAAGTCAACATTCAAAGGATGGTCAAACCCTCATATTACGTAATCAGAATAATATAATAAGCTCTCTTCTACAAATTA